CCGTCACCAAGACAACAATCAAACGCCAACACTTTGATATGGAAAATACGGACAATCCCTACGAACTCCACGTTTTTGTCGATGCTAGTGATAAGGCCTATGGTGCAGCCGTTTATTTACATCGTGACATGCATTCATCTCTCGTTATTGCCAAATCTCGTGTCGCGCCACAGAAACAAGACATCACGTTGCCTCGACTCGAACTGATGGCCGCTCTGACTGGATCGCGACTATTACGATTTGTGTTCGACGCTTTCAAAGGAAAGATAAACATTGAACAATACATTATGTGGTCAGACAGCCAAATTGTCTTACACTGGTTGAAAAGAGACAAACGGTTACCAATCTTTGTGGCTAACCGTGTGCGAGAAATTAACCAATTTCCGTGCGTAATTAAATACTGCCCTACTCTCGACAATCCCGCCGACTTGGTGACGCGAGGTATCTCTGACAATAAACTTCAGCAAGCCGTCATCTGGTGGAATGGACCGACTTGGTTAAAGCAAGGTAACTGGCCAATTTGCAAGTTATTTGACAGCCCGGTTCATCACGTTTCGCCAATAAGCGCCAAATCGACCCCAGTTGGTATTTCACAAGTTATTGATGCAGACCGATTCAGCTCACTCAATATATTGCTTCGCGTATCCGCACTGGTATTACGATTCATATCGCGCCTAAAGCGGGACAAACCTCAACAAAACGGGCACGTCACCAGCAAAGAAATTAATTACGCGGAACACATGTGGATCAAGGATGTCCAAATTAAGAAATATCAAGATATTATTGAATCACTACGGAAGAAAAAGTGTACAATAGGACCACTGGTGAAGCAACTGAAACTGTTCATGAATGATCAAGGTATGATACGTTGTGGGGGGAGAATACACAATGCGCCTCTCGATATGGCAACCAAATTTCCAGCCCTACTACCACCTCATCATCGATCAACGGATCTCATTATCATGAACTCACGTACTCCACAGTGGAGTTCAATCTACCGTCACACATGTCCGGCAGAAATTCTGGATCCCAAGAATTCGACAAATAGTTAAGAATTTACTTCGAAAGTGTGTAACTTGTCGCAAAGTTAATGGATACCCTTTCCGAGCACCAGTCGCTGCGCCTCTACAATCATACAGAGTTAACATGACACCACCATTCAGTGTCACTGGTGTAGACTTTACCGGCGCGCTCTACATCCGGACACCCACAAGCTGTAAGGAAACAAAGGTTTATATTTGTTTGTTTACATGTGCGGTAACGCGAGCTGTACATCTAGAATTATTACCCGACTTGTCTACTAAAACCTTTCTCTATGCATTTCGAAGATTCGCGGCTAGACGTTCACTGCCTAGTACAATGGTGTCTGACAACGCTTCAACATATTTATCTGCGGCCGAGGAACTACGTAAATTGTTCGATTCTCCCGACGTTCGAACATATCTTGCTAACAAACGGGTACAATGGTCCTTCATCCCGAAACGTGCACCGTGGTTCGGCGGTTTCTGGGAACGTCTTATCGGCATCACCAAAACTTCAATCAAGAAAGTACTCGGTCGCGCATACGTCACATTCGATGAGCTCAACACAATAGTAACTGAAGTAGAATCAGTTTTGAATGACCGCTCGATTACGTATCTCTCATCCGACTATAAAGATGATGTCCCGCTTACTCCATCACATCTATTAAGCGGCCGACCGTTGACTACATTGTCATATGCTACGGTAGAAGATGACGAACTCAATGACCCGACTTTCGGAAGTCGACCTAATATCGTGAACCGCTATGCTCACATGTCTAAATTAAACGCGCAATTCAGGAAACGATGGGTATCCGAATACCTTACCGCGCTACGTGAAAGACATGATAACACAGGCAAAACGGACAATTCAGTTAAAGTCGGTGATATAGTTCTCGTGCACAGCGACACGGATCGACGAATTAATTGGCGATTAGCCAAAGTTGAATGACTGAAATATGGAAATGATGGAATTGTGCGATCCGTTGATATCAAAACTTCATCTGGACGTACAAACCGCCAATATTTACTTTGATAATATAAATAGGAGACGAAACGTCTCTTCTTCAGTTCGTTTTTGGTTCGTCTTGTTGGTTCATGATTCATTCATAGTTCGTTCAATAAAGTCATCTATTGCAGTCCATACGCGGTTTATTCTTCCATTCCTGAACTTGAACCAACTCTTCTTAACAATTCCCACAAAAACCCACCTCCATGAAGCAGACAAGGACACACACTTTAAAATATAAAGAATAGGGGCTACGTTATTTCCACCTCATCAGTGATAACAATCAAACAACATTTCCACGGCGACGTATGAAAAAATGAACAATCGAATGAACAATCGAAGTCGAAAAAAATCATAAATAACATAAATATATCATAAAAATGCCATTCAGTGTACAAACATTGGAAACTGTACACGTTTAAACGCCTAAATCGTGAATAAGATGTTTTACTTGCCTTGTACACGTTACATAGAACACAGCGCAGTGAGACCGATGGCGGAGCTGTACGTCGAACTAATTGTTCTTCAGACTGGCGAATGTAATCATGTATACAGTGACTATCGTGTTAACGCTCTAATCGACCTGACCTGCCAATTAGTAATCGATTACACATTATGGAATTCCAAAAGGACTGGATTCAAGCAACAAGAGTACTTTCATGTGCAATGACGCATGCTTTAAGGATAATCGTATTTCTAAAAAAAAAACGCCTAAGAGTCGCGCCAGCCCCCGAACATGCAGAAATCGTGCAGAACCAAACTATCAGCCATAATTACAATAATAATTCGAACACACGCACCACGGCGGAACCTATAGTTCCAATGTATTTAACCTATGTACGTGTTTTGACTGTAAATTCAGTGAACGGAGCCACACGCCTTGAAGACCATTCTAGACAAAACTATAACGGCAAAGCATACATGATTATGAAAATTATTGATTTGTTTAGATCGCTGGCTTTTCATCATCCTCCGCATTGACAACTCTTGTACACTTCGTAATGTAAATGAAATTATCAACTTTGAAAGTTTTGCAAGATACGAGATTTGACAAATATTTGAAACAAAAACAAATGTGGTTACCGATTGCGATTCTCCTATGCAGTCACGTTCATTGTCTCCCGTGGGTCAGTGGGTGTTTTGTTTCGCAATACCTAATTGCAACAACACTGTGTACGACCAGATGTACAACCTCACAGACGCGTTTTCTATATACTAATTAAAATAACAATATCAAAAATCAAAGCACCGCTCAGCCGATAAATCTAGGCCGTTGACTAGTACACATTACACAAAACCTCGGATCAGGTTAAAATAAATACGAAGAACTTACCGAGCTCTGTCATCATCGCCGATCACAAACGCCACACACCGATACAGCCTGCTAGTACTGACAACTTCGAGAGATACCGTAACGGGTTGTTGAAACTAGATTGTTCCGCACTCGGTGTTTGTCAATTGATATCAGGCATGAGACCACTATACTACGATGTGCTGAGGCGAGGGGAATCTCTGGAAAACAAGACAAGCTGGATGCGAGTGACGTGAAGACGTGGCCGCAACTTACAGTGACTGAATTACAAAAACACACGGTTGTGTGTCTCAACCAATCAGTGACACCGATGGCTTTCCGAATAACGGGGACAACCATGCTTTTTACAACGACCGTTTTCATTGGATGCCACAAATACAAGAGACACAGACTGCGAACGGAACGCATACATTAATGATACTAGCCCGTACTTCTTTTTTAATACAGACTTATAATTAGAACCAAACAAACGTGCGAATCCATATCTCTGAACAGTGTTGTTCGGCTCGTCGTGTTCGATATGGGTGCCTGCGATTGTAGATACATTGTTTTGTTTTGCAGGAAATACGCCCACAGTCATCGTTTAAATCATATTTTACACGCACTGTATACGTCGTATGGAAACCACATTGAACACAACGCCCGGCAACGAACAACGCTCTTTATAACGTTTCGGTCTTCGTAAATATGACGAGTAGTGTAGGCTCATTTATCATGAACTAAACATTCGTGTATTAATTTGGGTAAAAGCAAAATCTCACCCGATTCTGTTAGAATATTATATAGACATAAGAAAAAAATAGGGTGTCATTTTTTTCTCTCTTTCTGACACCCTGAAATCCAGGATGGCTTCCACACTACAAAAAAGGGGTAAACTGGACATTACGAGCGAACTAAATCTGATTCTAATATGTTTTTCACCATCTATTTATTGTAAAAGAGCAAATAGAGATTCCCACATGGATGACAACTTCCCTATAACTACTAATCTTATATTTTGTGAAGTTTCAGCCAGACCTACCATCTAAAATTAAATATGGCGCCCTGAAAATCAATGTTTAAGGTAGTTTGCTACCATTTCTAGGGGTCAAAATCTTATCACAATATTTTATTTCCAAATTGAGATTTAATTATTCATTATGGCACTGGTGATCAATAAATTAACTTTTTTTAGTTCAGAAAACAAATGTTTTTAGAGATAAACTACATAAAATATGAAAAAAAAACATTTTAAAAATATCTCCACAGGAAACCATTGTAAAGCATTATTTGATAAAAAAAAAATATTTTGAATCTAGAAATTGTTTTAATATTTCATGACAATAATTCGTATACCCAAGGGTATTATATATGATTTTTTCATCTTATGTCACCGTGCAAATCGTGAGATATGATGAAATATTATTCCCTTAGGATTCAATGGTAAATTTTTCTTTATGAATTCATAAGTACTGTAGGAAATATTATGGAAATCTGACATTAAATTCAAATGGTAGCAAACTACCTTAAATGCAGTTGCTGGATGCAGTTGTTCCATATTAGATATATAAGGTTGTTTCATATATGCATATACAAATATATTTTCATTGTATTTGCAGGAAAAAAGTGCCCACAGGAAACACAATGTAGCTTAGAATCCACAATTAACCAACATGGCAGAATTTTCATCTAAAAAGAAGTCGAAAACTGGATTTTAAACTTTGCTTCATTTGTCAAGTGAGCAGCAGACAAACAGATTATACAAACTATGTGCTTCATTCTTCTTTGTCCTCAGTAGAAAAACTAATTAATACAATTGATGTTCGATGCTCATACGGGGAAACAGAGTTCTCCGCATTAAAGGATCGCTTAAGTGGATTGTTTGTTGATGATCTGCTACAGAAAAGTGTTTCGTACCACAAGACTTGTTACAAAGACCTCACAAATAAAACATACATTAAACGAGCAAAAATCAGATATGAGAAAGGACAATCAACAGGAAATACAAGTGCCGTAAAACAAAAGAAAAGAGGACAACCATCAAAATCTACACCTACATGTACTTCCAAGTCACGACCTACATGTACCAGGAGTAGGACTTTTGACAAGGAGATGTGTGTTATTTGCCAAGAAGACAAATCAGACAAATTGCATGATGTCTCAACTGAAAACATGGGAGCTCAGCTCAAGGCAATTGGTCAACAGACAACAAATGAACAGTTGAAAGTCAGAATGAGCGATGTTGTTGCATCATTCGATCTTTTAACAGCAGTTGCAGAGGACATGAAGTATCACCTGCTGTGCTTAAGCCATGCAAAGCGAGACATAGAAAAGGCTAACAGGCAACTATCAAAAGATCCTATTCATTTTGCACAGTTAATGTCCGATCTTGAGATGCTTGACATGGTAGAAACGGAAATTAACAACACAACTCGTTAATCTGTTTTGAATATGAATGAAATTGAAAAATCATATGTGCTTTTGCTAGATGCAAACAGATTTCCTTTGCCTGATCATCCAAGATATATACCATACCTAAAGCAACTAATTTTGGACAATATCCATGATGTACATTTCACCAGACTTCCAGACAAAACCAAACCAGAACAAGTACTTTCTACAAAGTCCAAGGAAACCCTGTTAGCCGGTGCTCTTGACAATGACCCGAATAACCTAAGGGAAGATGTGAAGGTCCTTATTAAAGCAGCTAAAATTCTAAGAAGAGACATTGCAACTGCAACTCCGTGGAAATTTCAAGGAACATTAGATAATCTTATATTTTGTGAAGTTTCAGCCAGACCTACCATCTAAAATTAAATATGGCGCCCTGAAAATCAATGTTCAAGGTAGTTTGCTACCATTTCTAGGGGTCAAAATCTTATCACAATATTTTATATCCAAATTGATATATAATTATTCATTATGGCACTAGTGATCTATAAATTAACTTTTTTTAGTTTAGAGAAGAAATGTTTTCAGAGATAAACTACATAAAATATAAAAAAAATCCATTTTAAAAATATCTCCATAGGAAACCATTGTAAAGCATTATTTGATAAAAAAAACATATTTTGAATCTAGAAATTGTTTTAATATTTCATGACAATAATTCGTATACCCAAGGTTATTATATATGATTTTTTCATCATATGTCACCGTGCAAATCTTGAGATATGATGAAATATTATTCCCATAGGATTCAATGGTAAATTTTCTTTATGAATTCATAAGTACTGTAGGAAATATTATGGAAATCTGACATTAAATTCAAATGGTAGCAAACTACCTTAAATGCAGTTGCTGGATGCAGTTGTTCCATATTAGATATATAAGGCTGTTTCATATATGCATATAAAAATATATTTTCATTGTATTTGCAGAAAAAAAGTGCCCACAGGAAACACAATGTAGCTTAGAATCCATAATTAACCAACATGGCAGAATTTTCATCTAAAAAGAAGTCGAAAACTGTGGATTTTAAACTTTGCTTCATTTGTCAAGTGAGCAGCAGACAAACAGATTATACAAACTATGTGCTTCATTCTTCTTTGTCCTCAGTAGAAAAACTAATTAATACAACTGATGTTCGATGCTCATACGGGGAAACAGGGTTCTCTGCATTAAAGGATCGCTTAAGTGGTTTGTTTGTTGA